AATGCTCACAGGTGACACGGTAGCTCAGAGGTTAGCATTGTCGCCTCACAGCAAGAAGGTCACTGGTTTGAGTCCCCGCTGGGTCAGTTGGCATTTCTGTGTGGAGTTTGCATGTTCTCCCTGTGTTCGCCTGGGTTTCCTCCAGGTGCTCCGGTTTCCCCAACAGTCCAAAAACATGCGCTATAGGTGAATTAAATAAAATAAATTGGCCATAGTGTATGTGTGCGGATGTGTGTATGGATGTTTCCCAGTACTGGGTTACAGCTGGAAGGGCATCCGCTATGTAAAACATATGCTAGGTATGTTGAATAAAGGGACTAAGCTGAAGTGAAATGTATGAATGAATAATACTCAGTTTACTATTCCATTTCTCAGCATAAATTTCTCCCCCCCAAAATACCTAAAACACTGATTTATCTGACCACAGTACACGTTTCCACTGTGTGATGGTCCATCCCTGATGCCTCCGAGCCCAGAGAAGTCGATGGCACTTCTGGACACTGTTAACATAGGGCTTCCTTTTGGCACAGTAGAGTTTTAACTTGCATTTGTGCATGCAACTACTTATTGTGGTACTTGGCAAAGGTTTGCAAAAGTAGTCCTAAGCCCATGTGATGACATTTCTTCTAGATGAATGACAATTCTTTATGCAGTGTCACCTGATGGATCGAAGATCACAGTAGTTCAGCTTAGGCTTACACTTTTGTCCTTTACGCAATGAAATTTCTCTTGATTTCTTAAATCTTTTAATGATGTACTCTTGAAGGGGAAATTAGCCTATCCAAACGTCATCCTATCTAGAAACATTTCAATAACTTTCTCATGTATTTGTTTGCAAACTGCTGGTCTTCAGCCCATCTTTGCTCCTTAAGGACAAGACCTTTCTTGGATGCTTCATTTGTATCAAATCATAATTACATCATCTGTTGACATCATCTGTTTCAAATCACATCATTATTTAACCAGTTTACCTGATTACAAGCTCTAAATTGCGCCTCTCCCAACTTTTTTGGAATGTGTTGCTGGTCTGAATGACAGGAAAAAATGTATATTTAAAAATGAAATGATATTGACCAGACAAAACATGAAATATTTTGTGTTCATGTTGTCTGCAATGAAATACAAGTCAAAGTAAATTTGCATATCAGTACTTTCTATTTTTATTAGCGTTTTCCATACTGTTCCAACCTTTTCTGATTTGAGGTTGTAATTTGTATCATATACATATATAATTTATTTCTAAATATAAACATTTTCTCAAATATATGCATGCATGAATATATATATATATATATATATATATATATATATATATATATATATATATATATATATATATATATATATATACAGTATATATACAGTTGAAGTCAGAATTATTAGCCCCCCCTGAATTATTAGCGCCCCTGTTTATTTTCCCCCCCAATTTCTGTTTAATGTAGGGAAGATTGTTTCAGCACATTTCTAATCATAATAGTTTTCGAAACCTGTTTCTAATAACTGATTTATTTTATCTTTGCCATGATAACAGTAAATAATATTTTACTTGATATTTTTCAAGACACTTCTATACAGCTTAAAGTGACATTTAAAGGCTTAACTAGGTTAATAAGGTGAACTGGCAGGTTAGGGTAATTAGGCAAGTTATTGTATAACGATGGTTTGTTCTGTAGACTATCAAACAAAATAAATAAATTAGCTATGGGCTAATAATTTTGTCCCAAAAATAGTTTATAAAAAATTCAAAATTGCTTTTATTTTAGCCAAAATAAAACAAATAAGACTTTTTCTTGAAGAAAAAATATTATTCGACATTCTGTGAAAATTTCCTTGTTCTGTTTCCCATCATTTGGGAAATATTTAAAAAAGAAAAAAAAATCGAAAGGGGGCTAATAATTCTGACTTCAACTATATATATATATATATATATATATATATATATATATATATATATATATATATATATATATATATATATATATATATATATATATATATAACATACACACACACACACACACACACACGGGCGTAGAATTGGCATGGACAAAAGGAATGTGACTCCACCAATAACTGAAATGTCCCTACCATTAATTTAATTCTTATTAACCTACACATGCACAAAGTCAAGTTTGCTACGAGTTCCAAGGCTGTGCAATTAATCAAAATTCGGTTACGATTTTGGCCTCCATGATTATAAGAGACACTAATCGGCATAAAACAGTTCATTTCCGTCATACACCTCTCTAGATTTCACTACATTCATACCACCTTAAAGCCCGACTACAGAAAAATCATGTAAAGTGACTTTTGGAGCATGGGACGTGATTGTTATTTCTATTATTAAGTGTTGATTTTATATTATTAAGTACTTTATTCATGTTTATTTTTTAAAGCGCGAAACAGAATTTGTGCTGTTCAATGCAGCTCTATGGATGTATATCCCCACCAATGTCCAGAGCAAATCTACACCCTTGTATATACATTATAAATATACACAAAAAGACAAACTTAAATTATGTCAAAACAAACTTTTATTTTGGATGCCATAAATCGTGATTAATATTTGCCCAGCACTAATATTTATATATATATATATAATTTGAATATATTTGAAGGATTAATTTAAGAGTTGTAAACAAAAACTATTATTCTAATAATGAATCATTTAGTTTAGGCCTTGTGTGTGTGTGTGTGTGTGTGTGTGTGTGCATGTCACTAATGTTCCAGAACTTAAATAAACAGTCTAACAATATACACTAAAGGATGAATTTAAATCAGCACACACTGCAACCTGACCTGAAGTCAAGATGAAATGAACACATCTAATGCAGCAATGTGGTGTCTTATAAGGGTTTGACAGCTGTCATTTGCACAATGCCTTTTCTAAACAAAATCAGTGGCCGAGCACAGTTGTTTAACCTCTTCTCAAATCCTGAAATTTATGAGTGTTTTGCAATGGGAGCTAAACCGGGGGACATGATTTATGATTCATGAAGACACGTCACTGTTTATATATGTGAACTAGCACAAGCTGGTAGTTTGTCTCTGGGTGTTGTGTAGGTGGAAGGTGATGTCATCGAACACTTAAACTTCTGATCCAACGTGAGGTGGAAAATCAGTTCATGGGACGGGCAACCTGCTCAGTTCACTAAATCTGTGCTTACAAGTGTCAGATGTTGCATACATGTCTGTCTGCATGTTCTTATAGTTTATATGGTGGAACAGGGTACTACTAATGACAAGCTCATAAATCTTATTTCTAGAGAACGTGCACTGTAAAATAATGAGCTTGCTACGTACATTAAGAAATGTAAATGTCATGCAAATGTCGTCTGCTCTTCTCACTTAAAGAAATACTGCAGTTTTTTTTTCTAAGAATAGGCTTATTTTACTAGTACTCTACAGTTAGTACACTTAGTTAGTAAGACATGTGAGTTTTATAATTTTTGAACCCACTCAGCCGATGTCCAGGTCTGGAGGGAGCACTTTTAGCTTAGCCTATCATAAATCATTAAATTGGATTAGACCATTAGCATCAGGCTAAAAAAAAATCAATAAAAAAAGTGTATAAAAGATAAGTTTTCCATTTAAAGATTGATTCCTTTGTAGTAATATCATGTGCATACTGATATGTACAAAGACCCATATGGCTAGGAAATATACGCTCTTTCTTGCATAATAATCAAGGAACTTTACAGTCATAACATATCTGGAGCTTGCGCAATGGTATTATGCAGCGCTGATGGCTAGTTACCTAGCCGCTAATGCATAATGTTATAATGCCTGCTTCAGCCATGGTACAGTACAAAGTTTTTTGATCTTAGTCATATCAACCTAGAAAATAGCAACTTTTTATATTCCATCAGTCTTAGTATAAGATATAACTATAGAATATTCTTTAAACAAATTGGAGTGAGGTGCTTATAGCCTGATTATCTTTACTATGCTAAGCAAAGCATTGTGCTAAAAATGTGTAAATAGTTAATTTTCCCATTTAAAGCTTGATTCTATAGTTATGTCATGTACAAAGACAGGCGGAAAACAGACCAGTATGGTTAGGAACTATAACTTTACTGTCATCCTGGCAAAATAATCAATGAATTTTACTGCCATACCATGGCTGGAGCAGGCGCAATTGTATTTAATGGAATTCAGTCATGGAACATTACGAAGTTCTTTGATTTTAGTCATATCAACCTAGAAAATGGCAACTTTTATCTTCCATCAGTCTTGGTATATGATATAACAGCAGAATACTTTTTAAAAAATTGGAGATGCTAATGGTCTGATTCATTGATCTTTGCCATGCTAAGCTAAGCATTATGCTAAAATTGTGCAAAAAGATATGACTACAAACTATACTCTCATTCTGGCATAATTATCAAGCAATTTTACTGCCATATCATTGCTGGAGCAGGCACAATGATATTACTTGAGCCAATCTCTGGGTCTGGTAGGAGCACTTTTAATTTAGTTTAGCTTAGCATAGCAAAGTTCTTTGATCCTAGTCATATTGACCTAGAAAATAGCAACGTTCTGTCCTCCTTCAGTCTTGATATAACTAAAAAAAAGTCTAGCTTTAAATTTGAGTGAGATGCTAATAGTCTGATTCAATGATCTATGCTATGCTAAGCTAAGCTAAAAGTCATCCCATTAGACCTGAAGGTCGGCTGAATGGACTTAAAAATGGTTAATCTTAACTGTTAAACTCCAGGGGACTTGTAAACACTTAAAAAAAAAAAACATCAACAAAAAACAAACAAAAAGTGTTTCTTTAATTTTTAATTTAATTTCTAAAGATCTTTCACCTGTAGCAGGGCAGAACATAAATACTAATTCATAAATCCATTACTGCTCCTGCATTCAAAAATTATGATCCTGTTCCAAATCTGTTTAACTTACTTTCTTCTGCACACCACAAACAAAACACTTTAAATAATGTTGACATTTTAATGTCCATTCAGTAGGAGGCAGTACAAAACAAAAATATCACCAACTTTTTTTCAAAATATCTTTAATGTTTTACAGTATGAAAGAAAAACTGTAAATAATAATAAAAAAGAATGATTTATTTTTGGTGGACTATCCCTTTAAGTCAGGGATGTCCAGACACAGTCCTGGAGGGCCTTTGTTGTGCAAAGTTTAGTTCCAACCCCAATCACACACACCTGGGCTGGCTAATCAAGCTCTTACTAGGCATTCTAGAAACATCCTTGCAGGTGTGTTGAAGCAAGTTGGACATAAAATCTGCAGGACGCCGGCCCTCCAGGACTGAGTTTGGACACCCCTGCAAAGTAATCTTATGACCACCAGATGGTGCCACACAGACAAAATACATAATAACATGCATTTTTATATTTCATTATTTGCAATCATTTCATTGTTTAAACCCAAGTCAGATGACTTAAAAATGACTTATCAAAAAATAAACATTTGTCCCTATATGCCCCTTTCTGTTTAGTCTCAGGTCAAATGAAAAATACAACAATGACTTTGTGAACACATTTAATTGTGGAAAATACACAGATTTGAAATACAAATTCCATTTTAAATTTGTATATTTAAATGTCCAACAAGTTCACAGGAGGTCAAAAATTTCATTTCGAATCAAGTAAACTGAAGATGTGACAAATGTGGTCTCCTTACATGTTACATTACTGTACATGAATGACAAAAAACAATATTTACAAGCCATGCATTGTTAAAATGACTCTAAATACGCTGAGAAATATAGATAGCAGCTGTACAGCCAGCCTGTATTGCTGTTTTCAAAAGCATATATCCTGGTACCTATAGAGGGAAAAACAAGTTAAAGAAACCTTTATCCAAAAAAACAACATAACATGTATGGAAAACAATAAAATAAAACAATAAATAAATTAATATGCAAATAAATAAATATAACGTCCAGAAATTCTTGTATAAATATATAAATAATTAATAGTGTAAGCAGGTAAATAAAATATATAAATTTAAAAAAAAACTACTTCCAGTTTAGCATTTTCTTACTCCAACATTTGTGTATTTTTTTTATTTACTTGCTCGCACTATTTATGCAGGAATTTGTAGATTTTTATATACATTCATTTATTTATTTGCACATTTATTAGTTTATTGTTTTTGCAGGTTTCGTCCTTAATAAACATGTACATTTCCCATAAATCAATCAATCTATAATATAAAACTCACCGACTCAGCATCATGCTCCAATCCTGTGTCATGATGCTCTATTTCATCATCACGAAATTCTTTAATGAGCTGATTGAATTAAAACAGTTTGATTAGGTTTTTTTTTGCTCGAAAATAGACACATGCTTTTTTTAAAAAGAAGATGCCAATTAAAGAGATGGTTCACCCCAAATTATTCCTCGCCATTTATTTACCTTACCTAAAGAGATTGTTCACCTAAAAATGAAAATTCTGTTATCATCCTTCACTTATCTAAAACCACTTTGAGTTTCTTTCATTTGTTGAATGCAAAAGAAGATATTTTAAAGAACGTTGAAAATTAGTAATTATTGACTTCCATACTATTTGTTTTTCCTACTATGGAAGTACAAATGTATTCTCAGACTATTGTATGATTACAGTTGAACCACTGAAGTCACATGGAATGTTTTGACAAGGTTTCGCAGATGACTGGGATTTTATTGAAACGACACGTGGGTGAGTAATTAATAACATTATAAATTATTATATTTTCTACCTCAATTTCTGTAGGGTTGGGCAATAAAATGGGTATTGATATTTATGGACCATACATCATTGTCAATATTGTAATGTAATGTAATGTAATGTGTATTTATATAGCGCATTTATTGTGTATGGCATACACCCAAAGCGCTTCACAATCATGAGGGGGGGTCTCTCCACACCACCAACAGTGTGCAGCATCCACTTGGATGATGTGACGGCTGCCACAGGACAACGGCGCCAGTGCGCTCACCACACACCAGCTATTGGTGGAGAGGAGAGACAGTGATAGAGCCAATTCGGTGAAAGGGGATGATTGGGAGGCCATGATTGTAAGGGCCGATAGAGGGACTTTGGCCAGGACACCTGGGTTACACCCCTGCTCTTTCACGAGAAGTGCCATGGGATTTTTAATGACCACAGAAAGTCAGGACCTCGGTTTAACGTCTATCCGAAAGACGGCGCCCACTGCCAGTTTAGTGCTTAAAGTACTTAAAGTGAATATTGATTTTAAAAAAATAATTGGTATGAAGTTTCTGTATGAAGTGCTATAGTTTTATTATAATGTGGCTGCTGAGCACGTGTCTTGGAAGGAATGCCAAGAAGGGTGTAAGTTTGTCATTTCCAATGAAGGCATGCAACTTGCACAATGTGCACATGGGAGTGACGCTCACATGGTGTGCAAGCGAAGCACACATATGGAAAGCCAAATGGGTCAAATCGCTTAATACCAAATGCGTGTCATCCTCAAAATGTCGGTATTTTTGAAGTTTAAGACGAAAATACGGTGAAAAACACTGTGTTTTACAGTGCATGTAATGTTGGTAAATTAAAATTAAAAATGATTTTAATATTCCTAAATGCATTGTTAATAACTATTAAATAATTATCGGTATTAAATGATATGAAACATGACATCGTAATATTTTTTTTGCAACATTGCCCAGCCCTATTTCAAAACAAAACAGTTTTAATAACTAAATTCTAATAACTCATTTTTGGCCATGATGACAGTACATAATGTTTTACGAGATATTTTTGAAGATACTAGTACTTAAAGTGAGATTTAAAGGCTCTACTAGGTCACTAGACGAGATAGGGTAATTAACCAACTCATTGTTTAACAGTGGTTTGTTCTGTAGACAATAGGAAAAAATATTGCTTACGATGGCTAATAATATTGACCTTAAAAGGATTTAAAAAAAATAAAAACAGCTTTTATTTTAGCCAAAATAAAACAAAAAAGACTTTTTCCAGAAGAGAAAAAAATATTATTGAAATACTGTGAAAAATCCCTTGCTCTGTTAAGCATAATTTGGGAAATATTTAAAAAAGAAAAGAAAAATTGACTTCGACTGTAAATGTGCATGCTCAGTACTGGTATTACCTGTAGTAACTCTGTGTATCTGTCTGGATCAGCTTCCATTAGTGTTCGGATTTGGCTGTTGTAGTGCTCCGAGATGCTTTCCTCAACAGCCACAGTGCAGGCCATGGCTCCTTCCTTACCCAGAAGAGCCGTACAAGCTCCTGAAACCACCACAGTCAGAGCTTATTATTACAAATTACAGTGCAAAAACAAACAATTAAGCGCGTCTACTTAAGAACGTACCTAATGCAAACCCAGCGATATTCCACAGCGGCAACAATAACGTCGGTCGAACACGATGCTCTCCCAGAATCTCGTTAAACTTTTCCAAATGTATTTTCTCTTGGTCCCACATATGCTGCAGGTGTGAAAGGCACATTTACAACAGCTATTTTATTAAACCTGGTATACAGTTGAATTATTAGCCCCCCTGAATACTTTTCCCGCAATTTGTTTTTAATTTTTAGCAGAGCAATGAAATTTTCACAGTATTTCCTATAATATTTTTTCTTCTGGAGAAAGTCTTATTTGTTTTATTTCGATTACAATAAAATGATTCACAAAAAAATTTAAAACTGCTTTTGATGTAGCCAAAATAAAACAAATAAGATTTTCTTTAGAAGAAAAAAATGTATAAGAAATACTGTGAAAAATTAATTGCTGTTAAAAATCATTTGGGAAATATTTGAAAAAGAAAAAAAAAATCTGTATGTAAAAGACAAAAGACAGACATACCTGAATTAGAGGCCCTGTCTGAGTTCTTCCGAGAACTGCCATTTGGCCAGCGTAGATGCGATTGGCCCCATACTCTCCTGCATGGTCAACCCTCAACATACGGTCCAGCATGGCTTTCTCCTGTTCATCACGAGGTGGAGGAATGACACTGTATCTTCTGCATGACACTAAGCCATTAACTGCACATAAGAACACAGTTACTTTGCAAGACAAGTTCGCTTTGTCACTGAATGCATGTTTGGGCACACCTTACAATTGTTTATTAAGATTTATGTAGCTTTTAAAACTATAGTAATCACTTCACATCTGTAAAATAGCACAAATTAGGGCTGCATGATTTTGGCAAAATCTGACGCTGCAATATTTTTCTTTTCTGCGATATTCATTGCGATATTAATATTGTTTCAAAAGATGATTTGAAGAGCTCTGTACTATCTGACAAAAGTCTTATTTTAAATAATATTTAATATTATTTTAATCTTTAAGAAATTATCTAAATCATTGAAATACCGATGCTCAAATGATATATTGAGCAGCCCTAGCACAAATACACTTTTGATGGAATTTAGGCAAGTAAAATGTAATAAAATCAATTATTAGAATAAGAGAGCAATCATGTCTTCAATTATTATTATTTGCTAATGTCATTGTATGCTAAATTTAGAAAAGGTTACAAAAGCATTAACTAGATAAGGGACATTACACCAGAAATGTAAATTTTCACTTAGAAAAAAATATGACAGGACCTGACCTTTAGGCTTGTCTTCCTCAATAAAAAATCATACAAAGCAAGCATAAAATCATACAATTCAATGATAGGACGAACTCTTGATGACTATCAGCTTCTACATCAACTGATGTCACTTCCTTTGAGTCATAGCCTTAATGGTGTATTGCAATTGTAAATATATTTGTAGTATTAATTTGTAGAATTTATTCATAATTTCTTGCTTTTTAACAATTGATGTTAACGATAATAACTTGCTATTTCTGAAGTATAGTTTTTTTCTAAATAACAGTTTTTAGCATAACAAAACTATTAAAGCTGGACTGAGGATAAGAACAATGACAGGGCTTGTACTTTTGTAAAGTGTTTTAATAAAGAAAAAACAATCTGAGAACCATTTGAATGACATATTCCTTTACAGAACAATTCACTGAAGACATTTAGGTAAAGTTGGTTTTATATTCGGACCTTCAGACCTTCTCTTTAATAATATAATTTCTGTTTCTAATATTTGCAAATTCTAAATAATGAAATCATATTAGCACCTAATGACTATCAAAGAACAACATTGTTCACAGTCAAATAACTAGTGCTAATGTTGTTTTCAAGTCATATTTACATGCTCATTCAGACTGAATATTTAAAGTAGGGTAAACAATATAGGGAGCATTAAATGAACAAATGTGCAAATATAAAAACAACTTTACCTCAATGCACAAGGCAACTATCCATCCATTATATATTTTTAGGATGAAATACTATTGATTTACTGTATTTATGTTTTTATTTTAGGAACAGATAATGTACGTTTCTACTCGAATATCCCATATATGTACTAAAAAAAACCAAATGTTTTCATTTGATGTGACTGAAAATCATAGTTATTCCAGCAACTCTCCTGAAATTAAAACATTTATATTTTGTAGTTTAAAAATATATAGAAACTGCATTTTATTTTACAATTCGGATGAAACTATATTAGCAGTTTACAGAAGAAATAACAACAAAATAGATGTAAACAACATCATCATGTCATAAACTTTTCATCAGAACAGTGAAACCTTCCCAAATCCTATGGCTTTTTTCACAGGACTATTACTAATTATTGCCATATACAGTCCATAAGCTAAAAGCTAGCATTTATAACTAGTATTACAGCTGAAGTTGGAGGACTCGGAGTTGTTTTCTTGACATGAGTAACGTTATGTGATCGCAGCTGTCATAAGCTCACACACACATACAGTACATACACGCCTTACCTCTGTTTACTGCACGACAGTTCCATACGCTTGACGGGCAAAAAACACGACTGAGGTCAAGTCTCACAGCACACTTCCCGGCTGTCTGCATTTCTAGTACAAAAATACAATTATCTACCGCAGTGTAAAGACAAAATTATATATTAGAAGTGAAGGTTGTGGCGCTTGTAAGTGACGCCATCGAAACGTCGCTACGTTCGTGCACGTACTGTTGTGGGTGGTTGTGTGTGATGTTTCTGGGAATGTGTCACGGAGAAAACGGTTTGTGGAGACAACGATTACAAACAACGGAAGCTGTGTGTCAAATTAAGGTATCGAAAAAACATGGCTTTTGGTGTTTTATTATTTGAATATTTGCTGTAATATTTAACTTTTTGGCCTATAGGTGGCGCTCTTACACGCAAATGAGTCCAACTAGTACATGTCAAGCAATACAAAACATTTATCAATATGACAGTTAAACTTACAGTGAGTTTAGCATATAACATGTAACCTCTGGTTAAAAAAAGCTTATTATAGCCACTTATATTTATAGGACATTCTGCCAGAAACGTTCATTATCTGTCCTTACATTAGTAGGCAAGGCAAGTTTATTTTTAATAGGCCTAGCACATTTCATACACAGTGGCAATTCAAAGTGCGTTGCATAAATAGGAATAAAAGGGACAAGTATAAGAAAAACAGATGAAAATGTGTTATAAATGAGTGAGAAAAAAATACAGTGAATAAAAGTATTTTATCCCCAAAAATTTCTAAAATGTCTTCTGTGAGTTCTGTAAAGGAATATGTCATTCATTTGGTTCTCAGATTGTTTTTCTTTGTTAAAAACACTTTACAATTGTACAAACCCTGTCATTGTCTTTGTCCTCAGCCCAATTGAACCTACAGCTTTAATAGTTTAAGTTATGCAAAAAAAAAAAAAGTTATTTAGGGGAAAAAAAAAACTTCAGAAATAGCAATTAAATTTTTTTTCTATTAACGTCAATTGATTAAAAACATAAAATTAAAAATAAATTATACAAACAAAATACTATTTTAGGCCTACTGTCCCCATGTTTCTGTCTGTCAGTCTTGTCACATTTGCATTAACTTTAACATAAAATGCGTGCAATACACATTTAAGCCTATGACTCGAAGGAAGTGACATCATTTGATGGAGGAGAAACTGACAGTGATGAAGGATGTGCTCTATCAGTGATTTTTTTTAAGGAGGACAAGTTTAAAGCTCAGGCTTTAAGTTTTTTTAAAGTGAAAATGTACATTTCAGGTAGAATGTCTTATGTTTACTCTTGCATAAATATACACTTCCAATTTTTGGTTAATATAAGAAGAAAGTATTTTATTAAAAACTATTTATTAAATTAAATGGGTTAAAATGTAATATTAATGTCAAACATTTAAACAAGACTCTTCATGCTCACCAAAGCGCTAAAAATACAATATAAATGGCAAGATTGTGTAATATTAATTCAAATGTACAGGTAATTTATTCCTGATTGAAAGCTGAATTTTTAGCATCATTACTCTAGTCCTAAGTGTATCACGATTCTTCAGAAATCAATCCCTTATGCTACTTTGCTGCTTAAAAAAATAAATAAATAAATAAATATATATATATATTTATGTGTGTGTGTGTGTGTGTGTATATTAATAATGTTGAAAACAGTAGTGGCATTTCATATTTTTGAGGAAACTGGTATATTCAAAAGTATTCTAAAAACAATTGTTATTCATCTAGGACACATTAAATTAATCAAAAGTGACAGTAAAGACATTCATAAACATAATATTTCTGTTCATAAAATAATTTTTCTTTCTAGCTGCATTCCAGTACTGGAAAACATCCACACACACTCAATGTGAATATATTTTAAGATAAAATTTATTCCCGTAATCGAAAGCAGATTTTTTTAGCAACATTACTCTAGTCTTCAGTGTCACATGACCCTTCAGAAATCAATCTAATATGCTAATTTGCATAATAATGCTCAAGAAGATTTTTTTAATTTATGATTGATAATTATAATGTTGAACACAGTAGTGGTTTTATATTTTTGAGATTTTTTCACATTTTGTTCAAAATTATTCTAAAAAGCCATTTTTATTAATCAAGGATACATTAAATTTAGGATGAACCGATACTCGCCGATACTGTGTACCAATTCCGATACATTTTAGATTTGGTTTCAATGAAAGTGCAATTCATTTAAAAGGAGATTTTATTGTTTGCCTGTAGCAAGGATGAACACAAAAATCATTAACAGAAGGAAATTCTTAGCCAAAAATATAAACACATTGTTGACAACCCTGTATTGATTGCCAATTAAGCATGGACATTTAAAGGATAAGTTATCCTTGCGCTGACACGCATCCATGACTTCACACATTACATAATCTAGCATCATATTGCATATTTGGTTTATATATATATATATATATATATATATATATATATATATATATATATATATATATATATATATATATATATATATATTCAATATACTGTTAACATATACCTTCTCTGAGTATATACGTTTCATTTTTTTACTGTAAATGTCACATCCATAACGCTGGAATCAGCCATATATATATTAAGACAATGAAGTCAGGTACAGTAGGACAACAAATCACATCCATGTAGTGAAATACTGTTGAGTGGTATTGGTGCATGGTATTGGCATTTCATGTACGATATGAGTACGAGTATTTTAACCAAGTATTGACCCGATACTGGTATTAGTATCAGTGCATCCCTAATTAAATTAATCAAAAGTGAGAGTTAAGACATTCATAACATTTCTGTTCATAAAAGCATCCTGAAAAGTAAAATATGACAGTTTTCGTCCAAAAATGAGTCATTAATAAGAACCATTAACCAGAACTAAAGACCAAAAATCGTTCATCATAAGCAGCAAATTAGTTATTAGAAAGATTTCTAAAGATTCACGTGACAATGAAGACATGGTTAATGCTAAAGATTCAAGTCTGAATCACAAGAATAAATTACATTTTTTAAAAGCTTAAAAGTAGTTAGGGCTGCACAATATATAGTTTTATGATCAATATCGAAATATGCACATGTGCACTAGTTACACTGCAAAATCTGCAATGTTGAACTGGTTTTATTATTGACCAGGACCTATATTTGAAAACACTTATGATTTGTCATTGCAGTTTAGTGTTTAACCATAGAGTTACCAAAGCGTTTATCATATATTTTTGTTTTTAGGGTCTGCGACTGAGTGTTTTTTAAGGTCAGGTAAATATACGATGAAAACTGTACAGTGTTATTTTACCATTGATTCTTAAATTTATCTTTCTGAATATTTCTAGACATCTATAAAGTATTTTACTCGTACTGTATCATTGCTTTACTGTATTTATCAATGTTTGTGTTTATAAAATCATCCCATTGTATCTAAAATTATGAATTCTTTCCAAATAGACTTTCTTTTCGTTTCATCTTGTGAAGTTATTCTCAATATCGCAAGAAATATCGTAGAAAAAATAAAATATTGTAATGTCAGATTGTTCCAATATTGTGCATCTTTCATAGTTATTTTAAGCTGGCAGCATTTCACAGGGTTACTTTTTAAATGGAGCTTTCACTTCTAAAATAAAAGAGTATAGTGTATGCAACTTAACACTTGCCTAATTGCTCTCATTGCTGTATTTCAGTGGCGTAGACATATGCAATTGCCCTTTGCATTATGGCTGTTGTGTATTTCACCCTTAGTAATTAGTGGAACACTTTAGCAAATCAGTATGTGAACTTCTCAAAGTCATTTTCAGGGTGTATAAACTTTCGTGAAGTGCAGAATGTGATGTTTCATCCAAGTCAGCCGGTGAGTTCCATGGCTTCAGTAGCTATGTCTTAGATTAATGCATACTGCACATATTTCACTACAGTGATAAAAGTGGAGCCTGGTCATCTGAAGAAAGAAAGTGCTGACTGCTATGGAACTGTGATTTGTATTAGGCAAACATTGAACTGTAGGTAGAAGTCGGCCTGTAGAGTTTATACTGCGAGTTAGTTATGGGAATCCGATTCTAGGCCGACGTGACTGGACGGTTTTGGCTTTGAATAATGTGTGAAATGGGGCGTGATGTAATGTAGGAAAGAAAAAAAGTGAGATCAAACCATATGAATTTAAAAGAGAAATACATAACGTGACTGCCTCCGGGAAAAAGAAAATTAGTGTTGTGTTAACACTTGCTGTGTTTCAAGATATGTAAAATCATTTGGTGGTGTAATATATTAGAATAATGTGCTAAGAGTTTATGGTTAGTGGATAACCTGCAATTTAAGCACCACAACTGTATTTTATATGATGAGTTTTTGACATCTTATGCTTAATTGATGATGGGTTCAGGTTTGTATATCCATTAAGATGACCTAATGATGTTATTACCCATATCAATAGTCTATAAAAGGCATTAATTGAGCATTTCAGGTCTGCAGGCATGTAATATGTCCACAAATGTGGAAAGAAATAATGTGTTCACCTCCTTTCCAAGGCTCTGGTCAGACAGCCTTAGACATAGCTGTGGTGGAGTAATGTCTAAGAGCTCCGGGCACAATTCTGTTTATTTGTTTGCACCATTGAAAGAGGACAGAACACTCATGCCTCGATGTGTGCTGAGGGCTGTTTGATATATTTAGCTTAAATTTGTTGACCTGCATCAAAGATTGTTGTTTTTAATCTTAAAGGGAAAGTTCAGCCAAACCTGAAAATGCTGTCTTTTTTTTTTTTACCCTTTGCTTGTTTTAAATCTGTTTGCTTTTTTATTCTGGTGAACACATATGGTGATATTTTGAAGAAAAGATGTAAGCCTGTAGCTATTGACTTCCAATTTTTCTTTTACTTACTATGTTTTACCTACTATCATTTCTTCATGTTGTCCCAACACAAATCGATTAAGTCAGCCAACCCAGGCTCATTCTGAAAATGTACCCCTATACACATTACTAGAGAGTGCCAAATTCGTTTCAGGAGGTAAGTTTTTTTTTGCAGTTTGTGTTTTTGCTAATTCACCAAAGGCCTCTGTGTACTATACCCTCCTGTTTTTCCTGGGATTCTCCCGAATTTTACAGTTCTATCCCGCTATAATCCCGTAAAGGTATTTTCCCGTATCTCTCCCATATTTTCAGTCTTTCTCTGAAGGGTGGCAAGAAACATTAAAGAGCCGAGCCTCCCTATACCACCAGGGGCCGCCCCTTGCTCTTAAATGTGAGTCTGTTCTGTTGTTTAGGCTCGAAAACACTTTGAAATAAATATAAAAACTGCCCGATTCCCCTTCCTTTTTC